CTGCTGCCTTTGGCCTCCTTCTACTCACTCAATACATTTGCCCAATATGTATATATATGTAAATATGTACTGTATATATTTATATGTAATATATACATATATATGTGAAAATACATGTATATATATAGATATACATATATAAACATACATAGATATATACATATACACACATACATAGATATATACATATATAGGTTTACATGTATATACATGTGGCATACACACTCTGTCATTTACAACCACTACCAGTACGAGGTTATTATTTCAAAAAGTTTCCATTTTGAAAAATTTACGTTTGTCTTTTCTCTGTTATATTTTATTTGACTTGCCGTTTAATGACAACAAACCAAAGCGAATCGTAACGTCAGCAGTAAATGATGTGATCGCATTACACCGAATTTTCACACTAGTTTAGTTGGTTACACACGCGCACCGCTGTAGTCATGTAAGTAGTCATGGCAACAAAGTCAAATCAAACTAAGTTAAAAAGAAAGGTTTACAGCTGCAGAGCAGATCCTGGCAGATCTCTGTGTTTCTAGTTCTTAGACGATAGGCAGTTAGAATGAATGTGCTGTGACAGTGACAGCTTTGTGCCTCACTACTGTTTTACTGCTCGTAGTTAAATATTTGATGCCTTTACACAAACCTGCTTGTGCAGTCGGAGTTGTTCTTTTGTGGATCAGCATCATTTCCCCTGCTGGTGTTAGTCGATCTAAGCCCTGCTCAGAACCTTCAGCTGCATGAACCCCCCTGTTCCACAACCACTGACAACTACCCACATACTCAGCCTGGTCTTTGAGCTTCTCTGATGTACAAGTATTTAAAGTAGTGTTTCTAAGCTTTGTTATAGCGGTTTTGGAGATGAACATTTGTATGAAGACAGCTTACAGGTAGATAACGGTTTTTGAACTGAAGAACTGGTACTATTTTAAAATAAACCTGGAATAAAGACTGAAAACGGCCACGTCGTTTGTCCCTGTTTTGTAGTACCGCAATTCAATCGCTAGATGGTGCTGTTGAGTCTCGTCGATTCCCGGTCAGAAACCACGTCACCTGGCACGAAACACAAGTTATAAAATTAAATTTTATTGACAGAACTCAGCACACGAAACACTCCAAAATTTCCAAAGATTCGGGATTAATATATTTGACAGCGGAACTAATGTCTCCTGCAAATAAGAGAAGATTATTGAAAGAAAAAGAAAAGTCGTCACTACCGCTGAAGTCACGTCTTTACTCGTCGCGTGATCCGAGTGGCAGTGATGGAGACAAATAAAGACATCCCAGACTGAAATGGACCGAGTCCGTCCTTTTGTTGCGCCTGTGCTCCTGCGTCAGAGACAGAACTCAAAGAGGAAATGACGTTAGGCTGCGTTTAGAATCGTCACGTTCAGTCATTTAGGAGAGAAATGTTGGTTTCCCGACATGTCCCGCGATGTGAAGCCGATTGTCAACATAAATGACAGAGGGATGTTTGTTTATTATCAATTTTATTATTGACGACTGAAGTTTAACAATAATTGGGATTATTATTTATAAATCAGCCGTGCACAGAAATGCTAGCTAGGAGTTAGAAATTATAAATATGCAAGACTATATTTAAACATGATTTTTTTAAATTTCAATTTATAAGTAAATTCCCTCTTCATTTATCCTTCTTTTATAGCACATTTTCATTCAGACATTTAGTATCTAATTAATGTGCTGCCAAACTGGCCAAACCCCCCAAAACAATAGATAATAACCTCAGAACCCCCCCCCCTGACCCCCACAAACACTTCTACAGAAAAAAAAATCATTTGCCCTTAAGTACATAAATAACTGGATTTTATACTGAAAAAAAAAAACAAAACACACTAACCCCATTAGTTTAACTTTTTTCAACTTTCCAGGAGATGAAAATAGATTCTCACAGCTAAGAACAGATTTTGTCATTAATCACACACGTCATCATCATTCTCATCCTATGATAGATATGATTTTCTTTTTCTAATCTGGTCTACAAAAGATAGTAATGCCCTTTTTAAAAAATAGTTTTTTCTTTTACTTTTAAGTTGTTGTTTTTTTTCCCCACAAGATACATTCAGGATAAACAAAAAAGACTGGACAGTGCTTTTGATAATGAGGGGTCGCTCCTCTGAATGTCAGGGTGGTCTTCAGTGTCCGACTCAGTGTCAGTGTCTCAGTCAGTGTCTCTGTCAGTCCGGCTGCTGCCGTGTACACGTCAGTACCTGGTCTGGTACTCGTGGTGCCACCTGTTGAAGTCGTTGTAGAAGAGGACGATACTTCCTGACGCCATGCCAGTTATGATGCACCTTGGAG